GCCCAGAGCAGGCTGAGCCAGCCAGAGTCTGAATGTAGTAGCGCATCCCTACAATCCCAGCGTTAGAGGGGCTGAAAGCAGGAGGAGCACCACAAATCCAAGCCTGCATAATGAGACCCTGCAACAACCAATTACATTAATAAATAAATAGTCACCCTATTTTAAAAATTCACCCCATGTACTATGATGATAAAGCCTGAAAGACTTCTGATAGGCTAGATATGGAGGGGCGACAAGGTCTCAGTATGCAATTCTGGCTGGCCTTAAACTCACTTTGCAGCTCAGGCTGGCCTCCAACTCTAGGTGATCATCCAGCTTCAGCCTCCTTCAGCCTTCAATGCTGGGATTATAGGTATATGCCACCATACCCATCTACTAGGCAAGATTTAAAGGATGAGAAATCAAAAAGGACTCCCTGCTTAGAGCTGCAGCCATAAATACACTAAGAGAGAAATGTTGGAAGAGTAGGCTTCAAAATAACAGGAAGTTCCACAGAGGGTACACTGAGAACCTCTTTCATATCTAAGAAAAGCTAGACAAGGTGGCTCATGTCTGCAGTCCTAGTTACTCAAGAGGCTGCAATGGGATGACCACAAGTTTGGGCCCAGCTCTGGGGAGGCAAAGGCAGGAAGATCACTGAGAGTTCAAGACCACCCTCGGCTACAAAGTGAGCTCAAGGCAGCCTGAACTGCATAGCGAGACCCTGTCTCAAAAAAAAAAAAAAAAAAAAAAAAAAAAAAAAGAAATGTATAAAAGTTGGTTGTTATGGTTTGTGTCTAGTTGTCCCCCAAAGCCTCATGCAGTCAGGAGGCAGCCTCTGGAGTTGTGGTTGATCACTGTGTGTGTGGATGCGGCCCTGCCCTGGGGCAGGTCATCTGCATTGCAGTGTAAGCAGGGAAGAGAAGCCAGCTGCTTGAGCTGCTGCTGCTCCTCCCTTGTGCTCTTGCTCTTTGCCTCCGCCAGGAAAAGCTGCTGTCCGCTCTGTGCTGCTCTACTCTGGAGCCAGCTGCATGTGGACTGAAACCTCCAATAACTGTGAGCTAAATAAACCTTTCCCTCCTTCATTTTGAGTGTCCGGTTTTTGTCCCAGCAACAAGAGAAGAGTAACTAAGACACTGGTAATAACATTTTTAGCTACCAGTCATAGTTAATATAAAAAGCAACTGAACTAAGCAAGACCATTTGATTCATAAGATGGGAAAAAAAAGAATGAGAAGTTACTGGTGAGGGGGAAGAATAACCAAGAGACTGTGGTGTCCTGAAACTGAACAAAAAATCAAGTTTACTCGTGAAACTGGTCAACTGCCTTAAAAGATAATGAATACATGGTTAAGAAATATGAAAACCAAAGTCCATCCTGGGCAATATGAGATGAATGGCAACAATGAGAAGAACAATTTTATCTGAGTAAAGCAGAAGAAACACTGATCAGAGTTTATCCACAACAAGATGGTTAAAAATAAGCAGCAAATATAATCCAACTCAAGAATTTCATACCAAGACCTTCAAAAGATGAACAAAGAATCTGAACAGTGGGCAAGAGGGAATGTCTACACAAGAAAGATTATATGTTTAATAACACATTTATATGCTAACAGAGGGATTCACTTAGAAGGGGAAATTCCTGGGGAGCAGACCTTGAATCCACAGCAAGGCAAGGGAAAAAGTGGAATCGAGAACACAAGCAGGAGAGCTGGTCTCATACAGACGCAGACACTATTAGTCTTATTTCACCAAGAGGAAACAGAGGATTCAGGCAAAAATGTAAGGGTAAAAGTAGATGTGAAGGCAGGTGAATATGGAATTTCTTTTTCTGAAACAAGCAAGATCATCAACTGAAGGGGGGAAAAATGGGAGGAAGTATCAGAGGCTTAAAAAACAAAGAGAAAATGAGAAAATAATCACTGTCAATAATGAAAGAAGAAATAAGTACAGACAGAATGAATGGAAAACAGCAGTAATGACCCACTGGAGATAAAGATTTATGGCCACAGACTCTGGCTGGCTCAGCCTGCTCTGGGCATGGGAGCTGGCACAACACGTGGGGCCAGGAAGGAACCACAGTCCCTGCACTTGCCTCAAAAGCCTAAGCGGGCACTTTAAATCTTCCTGGCCCACTATTTACATTTTTTAAAACAAGTTACAGTAAATGACATGTGGTGTTAGTGTTCCTCAGAATTTTCCCCCTGGCTTTGAATATACTTAACCCATCACCCTTGCCATACCCAGTTCTGGAAGTCCTCAATGAAAAAAATCTATTCAATGCTGCTGTTTCATGCCATTCGATGGAAAGGCAGGAAGCACAACGGTGCATCCTCATCCACCTTATTCACTGCCTCTGGCACTGCGATTTCTGGCTCTTACCCAAAGTTAAACTGACCATAACAGGTAAATGTTTTGAATTGATTCAGGTTGGGAAAGGAGCCACAACTGTACAACTAAAGACACGAAAGGGGACTTTTGGAACTGTTTCTGGGTGGGGGAAGTCAATGTTAAGGGGAAGGAAGTATTGGGGCAATTCAGGCCAGTGTGCCTTTTTTTTTTTTTTGGGGGGGGTGACTAGGTCTTGCTGTGCAGCTCAGGCTAGCTTTGAACTCACTGTGTAGTCCATAACTTCTGCTGATTCTCTTGCCTCAGCCTCCCAAGTACTGGAATACTGTGCTACCACCTGGCTAAGGCAGTGTGCCTTGTTTTTAGTTTAAAATAATTTAATGTTTTATTTATTTGGTACAGGGTCTTGCTACCCAGCTCTTCCTATTGATCCTTCTGTCTCAGCCTTCCCAGTGCTGGGATTACAAGAGTGCATCACCACCCCCAGTTTTGTTGGCAGGCTCGGCATGGCATTCGGTAGTGGGGATCGAACCCTTGTGCTTGCCAGGCAGGTGCTTACACCACACCAAGCTATTTCCCCAGCCCAGGGCAGTGTGCCTCAAAATGAAAACAGAAAGGCTAAGAAGGTGCTTAGTGGGATAAACATTGGACCAAAACCCAAGAGGGAGCGAGGGAATGTAATGAGGAGGGAAATGAAGGGGTGGGGCAAGGGATGGAGGAGGTAAATGCTAATTCTAGAGGGTATCATCTGATAGAATCATTATAAGTAGCTTATAAGTAATCATTATGTGGCAACTGTAGTTTAAATTTCCCAAAATAAACTTCACTTAAAAATTATTGTATATATCACCAAAGAAAACCTACCACAAAGAAGAGAATTTATATAAAATCGAGTTTACAGTAATGTGATAATAAAAGGGTGAATTTAAGAGTTGTGAACTTCCAGGGCTGAGGAGACAGATAGCTTGGTGGTCTAAAAGCCTGGCAAGCATAAGGACCCGAGTTTGATCCCTGGTACCACATGTCTCCTTAATACCACATGCCCTGCTGGCCCCAGAACCCCAGCAGAGCCACACTAGCCACACAAACCAAGGTTGCTGTTGCATGCATGTAATCCCAGAACTGAGGAGGCTGAGATAGGAGGATCACTATGAGTCTGAGTTGCATAATAAGACACTGTACCAAACAAATTGTTTTTTAAAATTTTGTTTTAAAAGAGTTTTGAATTACCAAGCTTCACTTTGTTACTCTAACTAGACTCTAACAGAAGAATGGGAACTGCAGACTACCTAAAGTTTTTCTAAGAATTCAAGCTAAAACTAGGCTAAAACATATGCAACAACAATAAAGCATTATCTGATAAAGTAATTTTAACTTTTCTCTAATAACTGTATGGCATTCTATAAGCATCAAAATGATCTTCAACTTCAGAAAGAAAGCCTAATACTATATCCAAATCCTACCAAACTAGTATTACAAATATCACCAGAGAGACTGTCCTCTAAATACAGCACACATAGGGCCAGGCAAAATAGCTCAGCAGACTAAGCACCTGCTTAGACAAGTACAGGAACCAGGGTTCAATCGCTGGTACCACATGCCACACTGGCCCTGCCCCAGCACGCTGATCCAGCAACAGAGTCAGGGCATGGTGGTGCACACCTGTAATCCCAGCACTAGGGAGGCTCAGAACAGGAGGATCACTATGAGCTTCGCAGTGAGACCCTGCAAAAAATAAATTGAAAGGGAAAAAAAAAAAAAAAAAAGCCAACTAAAAAAATTATAGCATATATGGTGCTGAGGCGACAATTCAGTGGCATAAGCACTTGCCTGGCAAGTGCAAGGTGCTGAGTTTTGATCCCTGGTATTAAAAAAAAAAAAAAAAAAAAAAAAGCAAAGCAGCATGCAACTCAGTCCCTTTGAAAACTTATTAAATCATTAACTTTCTATAAATTTTATTTTACTTTTTTTTTTTTTTTTTGGCAGAGGCAGGGATTAAACTCAGACCCCTGCACTTGCCAGGGAAGCGCTTATTCCACTGAGCCATTTCCCCAGCCCCTCTTTCTGTAAACTCTAAACTCAATCTACCCATGTTCTTCAGATGCACAATACACACAAGCTTACAAGTCTAACAGACCAGAAAAATTTTTAACGCTATTTTTCGTATTATTTGCTGGTGAAAGCTTTTTTTTCTTCTATATAAAGATTCAACCAAATTTGCCTTAAATAGTTGAGGTTCCGAAGCCAGAAGTATGCTGAGTCTTTAAACTAATAGCCTAGAATTACTGTTTCTTCTAATTTTAATACTGTTGTAATGAAAACACACATTATTAAACACAAAATGATTCTTACTAAATCAAGGAAAAGAGTTACAGCAAACTCACGTTTTTTTACTTCGTGGCTTGCTATCTCACCAGCAGATAAGAATGTTAGAATTTGGTACATAAACGCCAATTCAGAACACTGATATAAAACTGCTAAATATAGTGTATCCATGAGTCTGAGTTACTATGTACAATGTTTTTAAATCTTAGGCAGGGCCGGGGAAATAGCTTAGGAGCTAAAACGTCTATCTGGCAAACACAAGTTCCTGAGTTCAATTCCTCGTACAAAATACAAAATACAAAAAAAATAAAAATAAAAAATAAGCTTAGGCAGTTTTAGGATACCTGTTTCCACAATATTTTCTGTTTCTGTTGTCTCCAACCCATCCATGCTATCTTCATCTTCCACTGTAGTTTTTCCTCTACTTCGAGGCCTACAAACAGAGAAATACATGTTTAAATGTTGAGTGTTAAGGCTTACACAGCATTTACACTTCACAAAGAGCACAAGAAGAAGGTTTACAAAATAAAGTAGCCCAGGCATTCTCCAGCATTTTACCATGGCCTTGCTGTCATTTTTTTCACTTTAAGTTCAACCCTCCCTGTACCATAAATGTGAGGACAGACTCAGCATATTTGTGTTGCCACAACTCACTTCTTGAAGTGCTCCTCATTCTGGAGAAAGAAATATTCAGGCAATTTCAGAGCTTTAAATTATTGCAATATTTAAAAGATGGTAGCCTAAAGATAAGCCTGAGACATTTCTAGTTAAGAGGGTGCATCTGGAGACGATACTCATAAGTGAAATAAATAGGACACACGTGTGTAAATACCCACTGTTTCTCTGATGTAAGAAACCAAAGGTATAAATAAGGACCAAAGTGTACAACAGGCACTGTGAAGTAGAAAGAAAATACTCAAATGAGGAAGGGAGCAAGAGAAGCCAAAGGGGGGAAAAAAGAGAGGAAAAGGGGTGTGTGTGTGGGTGTGTGTGTGTGTGTGTGTGTGTGTGTTAACAACTAGAAAACAAAGGAAAAAAAAATGGAACCAAAGCTTTTTAAATGGGTAGAAGAGAAAGGGGTGAAGTTTACCATGTCTAAGATTAAAATTCTGCCCTTACTTGTTTTGAGGATCCTGGTGCGTGTATTGTCTCCACTCTTTGGTTTTTATTAAGCCCATGAATATCTCTTGGATTAAACGAGTTTCTCAAATGTAGCAGACTACTGCACTCTGTATTTGACCCAGCCTGCCAACCTGTGCCTTTTAACAGGATATCTGAGTCTATTAACATTGACAGACAATTACCGAAATGTGATGACTACTGTGTTTACTATTACTGCATTCTTTCTGTGTTGGTGATTCTCTAATTTTTCTCTTGTCATTTTGCTGTATTCGTAATTATGGAGAATTATAAAACATTAAAAGTAAAAACTGCTTCTGCAGCATTTCCTTTATATCCTGGTTTCTCTCCCTATAATCAACAACCACACTGTTATTTTCAAAAATTTCATCTCTGTCCTTAGTGCCTACAGTACTTCCTGGTTCCAAAACCAAAGGATCCTTGAAATATTCTTCCTTTGTTTGAACACAATCAGACACAAGGAAGACTGGTAGAGGCACCTACCAATGCATGCTAAGTAAGTTACCCAGATACGTGCTTCAAGTGCTTTGAACTGTGTTATTTTGGCTATTTCTGAAAGCAGCGTGTTCAATCTCCCATTATGATCTCCCATTATGATCCCATTATGATTTGTTTTATATAACGTGAATTTGAAGGCTGAGGATATAGCTCAGCAACACAGTGCCTACCTGGCATTCAAGGTCCGGAGTTCTATTCCCAGTACAAAAAAATAAATAAAACAGGCCAGGGATGTATCTCAGTAATAAAGCACTCAGCTAGCACATGGGAGGCCCTAAGTTTCATCTCCAAACCTAAACAAAACTATATAGCATGCGTTTTTGTTAAGTAATAGTATCTGGGTGAATTAATCTACAGTTAAATAACGACTTTCAGTGTTCAAACCATCTATCTTTTGTGTGAAAATTTGTATTTGTATTTTTATTTTTTCTGTTAACTATACATTTTTCTCCCCCTCTCTGCCTACTGTAGAAATTCACCGAATGGTATCTAGTGACCTGATTTGTCTCTTCTAAACAATCTGAGCTTGAATCAGTTGGTGTTGTTTATCCCTTGACCTTGTTTGGTGTTTTGATTTTCTGGGGTTCCTGCATTTTGTTTTGTGGTTTCCATTTCGAACATTCATGAGAACTGTCTGGTGTGATGATTCTATAGTTCTCGTTCTGTCCAGCCATTTCTCCCTCTCTCCTCTCCCTCGTCCAATCCTCCTCCCCTTCCCCCACTGTTACTTTACCCCTCAACAAAAACTTTTACTTTAAATTTTTTTGTTGTTTTTCCCCCTTCTGATTTGTCCTATTCTTAGTTTGGGGGTCAGTATAACATGCTTCTTATATTTAGTAACTCAATGAAATTCTTTTCCTTCTGTCTAATGGACCAAATTGTCAAATACCAGATTTTCTTCAAATTTCTCGTATTTCACATTCATTTCTTTATCACTGGAACTCACTGGCTTCTGTTACATGACTGTTCGGAGTAAGCAAACACTAACCTGTCAAAGCATAAAATAATGGTCAGACCTGCCAAGCCCAAACTGCAATGCTTAAAAGAAGTCTCAAGTCCAGTTGTAAATCACAGCATAAATAAAGTTCATTGTTTTAGTCCTTTGAATTTTTGTCTTTCTTGCTTTTCTTTTCTATTTCAGTCCTTTCATTTAAGTATTGAAAATGAGAACAGAGCTTACTGACGTAACATAAAGATAACGGCTAATTAGAAACAACAAAAGAAAATCTCACTGACCACAAAGGCATTTTTCTAAGCTATTCAAAATAAAATACAAATAGAAAAATAAAAACCAAAGAACCACAGTACCCGTAGGACAACAAAAACCTGTCTAACAAGTATGAGGCTGGGGTTAGAGGGAAGAGAGGAAAAGTAGCAAAATAATAGCTGTACATTTTGCAAACTATGTGATAATCACAAACATCTATCAATTAAGCACTTGTGATGATTTGTGTCTGCTCAAAGCCTCATTCAATCATAGAGCAGCTTCTGGAGTTTGTGATTTTTTTTTTTTTTGGGGGGGGCCCCTGAAGCAGCATGTGGTGCCAGGAATGGAACCTGGGTCCTGCACTTGCCCAAGCAGGGGTTTTAGACTCGCTGGCCTGATGAAGGCCTGTGATTGATTTTTTTGTTTTGTTTTGTTTTTGTAGTACCTGGGATCAAACTAAGAACCCTGCACTTGCAAGGCAGGCACTTATGCCACTGAGCTATCTTCCAGGCCAACTGATTCTTGATCAAATGCTGGGGATTTAGCCCTGGGGTGGGTAATCAGCATTACAAAGTGAGGAGGGGAGAGAGCCATGCCACCTGTAGTGGCTGCTGCCTGTTCTTTGCCAGACACTGCCATGAATGGCTGCTCTATGCTACCGTGCACTCTGCCTTAGAGTCAGCTGAGTATGGAACAAAAACTCCACAAACTGTGAGCTAAATGAACCTTTCCTTCCTTATTTTTGGGTGTTAGGTAATTTGTCCCAGCAATAAGAGAAAAATAACTGAGAAAGCACTTTATATTGAAACTGCTGAAAAAGAACAGCAAACAGAAAACATATTAAAGCCAGGCGTGGGGCCCAGGAGATGGCTGAGTGGAATAAGTGTTTCCCTGGCAAGCACAAAGACCTGAGTTCAATCGGGGGGGGGGGGGGGGTGTCGGCACGTGGTGGCACATTGGCACATGCCTGTAATCTCTGCACTGGGGTGGCTGAAGCAGAAGGATCATTGTGCGTCTGAGACCAGCCTGGGCTACAGAGTGAGCTCAAAGCCCAGCCTGCATTGCATATGGAGACTCTGTCTCAAAAAGACAAAGACAGGGGAGAGGGGAGAGGGGAGGAGAGGGAAGAAGGGAGGAGAGGAGAGGGGGGAGAAGAGGAGGGGAGGGGAAGGGAGAGGAGGAGGAGGGGGGAGAAGGGGAGAGAGAAATTAAGCTTGAGCTTGCAAGCAGTTTAGACACTACTATTAAAAACTAGAGGGGCTGGGGAGATGGCTTAGTAGATTAAGTGCTTGCCTAGCAAGCGCACGGGCCTGAGTTCAATCCCCAGTTGCGCCTCTCCCCTCTCTCTCTTCTCTCTTCTCTGTCTTTTTGAGACAGAGTCTCAATAAGCAATGCAGGCTGGGCTTTGAGCTCACTCTGTAGCCCAGGCTGGTCTCAGACGCACAATGATCCTTTTGCCTCAGCCACCCCAGGGCAGGGATCCCCACAATTAAAAGTCAGATTAAATTTTAAAACCCAAGGTTCAACTATATGCAGTTAGTTAATAACACACATTTTGGAAATACAAAGACACAGATAGGTAGAAGCACAAGAAGACAAGACACACTTATGAGAAGGCTGAACAAAAGCAAACAAGTGACCTGCTATGGGAGTGCATGTCTACAATCTCAGCACCCTGAAAGGAGGAGGATCGGGACTTTGAGGTGACAAAGACTTGGATTACATTGTGAGACCATGTTTCTATAAAACAAAACAGAACAGAAAACAGGAAAGGCAGGAGGATCACTATGAATTAGAGGGCAGTCTAAAGCTACATAGTCTCCACTAAATAAAAATGTAATAAATAAATAAAAAATAAAAAAATAAAAAAAAAAAAAGGGCTGGAGAGATGGCTCAGTGGTCTAAAGCACCTACTTGGAACAAGCTTGGCAAAGCACAGGGACCGCGGTTCAATCCCCCAGCACCACATGCCAGCCAGCCCCGCCCCCTGGTGGGCTGAGCTGGCCACATACAAATAAATAAATAAATAAATAAATAAATAAATAAATAAATAAATAAAATTTAAAAAGAAATTAAAAAATGAGGGCCATTCAAAGAACTCCACAGATGAAAGCACCTGCAAGCAGGCACAGGGGCCGGGGATTCGATCCTCAGGCCTGCCTTGCCGCCAGCTGCGACCGGGCGTGATGGCAACCGCTTACAATCCCAGTGCTTGGGAGGCTGAAAACATGAGAATCACTTTGAGTCTGATCTACGTAGTGAGACCCTGTAGACCCTGTACTAACTACAAAAATAAAAATAAAATAGGCAATTCATACCCATATTGAGTAAAATAAAAGAAACAAATGAAGAAAGCAATAATATAAGAATACAATTTGCCATTTTAAAACTGAATTAAACCAAAAGATGATTCTTTTAAATAATTAATAAAATTAATAGTTCTTTGGCTAAAATAATCAAAATCATCATTATAAAAACTAAAAGAAACCTGGTTGACGGCATATATCTATAATTAATAATTTAATTGAAATGGCAAAATTCCTTAGAGGGGCTCAGTTACCAAAATCAGCCTAAGACTACAATTAGAA